CCTAGCGTGAGAAAGTTGGGAGACAAATTGAGGAAAAAGAGTTGGATGCTAAAGCTTCCCAACAATATTCAGAGTCACCAAAATCTTTCCCGAAGTGTATTTACTCGGTTATGAATAAACAAAAACAATTACCATACACAGTTAAAAACAATTACTTCCATTTGTATCTTCCTTCCAGATGCATTAATAGAGATAGCTCTTGCAGGACTTGAGATAAGGCAAGAAAAATCCAGGTTAACAGCTGTGCTAATAAGTCCAGTTTAACTTCTACGATTAGAACGTAGTGAATACTTGGATATATCTTATAAAGCAAGTCCATAATCGAAGAGTCACCATATATCCTTGGGAGGAATTGAAGAAGATGAACAAGTTACAACACCTTCCTGCATTCATTTATTCTTAAAAGTAGCTACTCCATCACATTGGCCATTTGCAACGACTCCTCGATGTCAGCCAACAATGCTTTCTCTTCTTTGTTTGACCAAGTATGCTTGTCAGCCATCTGATAAAGAAAGTGGAAAATGGGAAATGGTTACGATGGTTCCTACAATATAGAAGGAAAATAAAAGAGACAAGTGGATGTATGGACATGCAGACGACTGTCAGCAAAATGCATGTCGAACAAGGAGATGACTGGAGTATGAATCTAGTAACAGTCATGCCGCGAATACAAATGGTAAAGGTTCAGTCAACTTAAGACAAATTTTACTAACAAAACAGTCTACAAAGTTGACAATCTGATATTAAAAGCAGAGAATGCATTTCAACTATAACAGAGAAAAAAGCAAGTTCCGATAGTGATCTCAACAGGATTTACTTAGCCCCTCCAACCCATTTGCAAGGAAGTTTCGATCATGTATTTGAACTTCTCCCAGCATTTCTAACTAAAGCCTCTAGGATGGACAACATTGATCCAACAGAGAAGGCCAAAAGAAAGAATATGTTGAGGTGAGAAATTATGTTCTCCTATTGATCCACCTATTTGAGTAATTCATAAAAATGCTCCTATTTGATCCACATATTTCCTTCAGTTGTACACTGAACTCCAAGTAGCACTGCTTCCCTCAACTGTGGTTGTGTATTTATTCAAAAAAAAAAATTGCATTGTAAATTTATAACTAAACCAAATCAAAGGTAGGCTTTTTCCAAAGGAACTGTAATTCCAACCATACCTTTGTTAGGCTACAAAAACTATCGGAGGAATTCTTGAGCTCAATGTCGAGCTCCATCATACCAAAACTCAAATTATATAACCCCTCCATAACAATTATCAAATAATTTATAAATCTTAAGGATATGGAACAGCAGTTATTTAAGTTATATTGTACCATGCAATAGACAGACAGGAAATCCGTTTTGAAAAGAAAGAAAAAATTAATATTTACTTTCGGATGTTATGTTGCTTAGTTGGCACTCTTTATTCGCCCTTCGCTCTAATTTCAGATCTCGTTGTTAGTCTATTTTGCCTTCCAACTTTAGCATCTGTGCAGTTCAAGTAGCTGAACTATAGGATACTTTTATAGATTTGGTGCTTACAGGGGACCCTAATCTCAAGATATTCCAAACTATGCAACAAAACAAGTCAATAACAATATTGAAAGCTTTGAATTATTAAAATATTTAAAAGTCACCCACATTGAAATAAAAAGTACTACTGCAGGAAAATGAAGGAAACAGAGATTTGACTGCAGGGAAGAATTAATGTATTTGACTGCAGTGAGGACTATTTGCGTTCAAATTTTAACTTAAAAGGGCATAGCATGAATTGGTATAAACCCAACTCAATGTACTATGGCATTCATTAGTTCTATACTCTTTTCTTTTTATTTTCTAATACCTGGAGAGCAGGAGTTTGCCGGCGAGCTTGAACTTGAGGCAGTTTTCGAAACAAAGGAGGCTAAGAGTGATATTGATAGCTGGAAGAACTGCATAGAAACCCAAATCCCCATACTTGCATTGTCAGAAATCAGTTCTTCTGAATCCAACTTTCAATAGAGATCATTTTTAAAATGAATCGCAGAGAAATGATGTTCTCCATTGCAATTTCCAGATTCTGGTTCAAGAAAAGCAAAAGCTGCAATAAGGCAAACTCCTAAAAATTCCTGCTATTTCAAGACCATGTCTCTGGAAACTGCTTATAAAATTAAAATCAAACACAAAATTGTGTCTAGATCCATTAGTTTTAATACATGTGCCACCAAAGTTATTCCTTCAAACTATCGGGCAAAATCCAGAGAATATATTACTTGTCCAACAATTGATCCACATCATGCCCCACTACTAAAGACTTCCAAAAACCTAAAAATATCATTACAATTGTAATGGCAAAACACTTTCAAAGCAGAAAATTATGGGTCTTTCTTAAGATTCCAAATTCTTGATGCCCAAACCTTTATATATGCCTACTTGGTGTCACACTCATAAGTCATTGTGTATTCCACTCGTGGCCATCAGATCAAAACAACATCCCTCACTTTTACCAACATGAACGATCAGAACACAATTGTGGACAAAATCAACTGAAAAGTGTAAGAGCATTCAAGTAAAATCTTCCTTGTCAGGAACAAAACAACATTACGTTGATAGTTCTTTTTTTTTTATTTATAAATGAGAAGTACTCTTGATAGTTGGTCATTACCAATTTCTAATCCAAAATAAATAGCCATCAGTATTCTTATGGTAGCTACTTCTAATGATACAATGCCTTACCGTCCAGCACATATACTAGATTCAGGATATGAGTGATCAACAATGCATCAATAAAAGTAGAAACATACTAAAGAGTTTAATAAACAGTCGAAACATGTATAACATGACAAAACAAAACTTATATACATAAATCCCCTGCTTGCACAAAACATTTTCCAATGTTAGTGAAAGCACTAATGTTTCACGTTGAAAACCAAAAACAGCTATAGAAACACAAATTAAAAAATTCCAAAATGTTAGTATTGATCCAATTTCCAGCTTGACTAACTATTGATGATTAAATATTTACACTTCCGACCAGCTGAATAATAGTTTAGAAAATAAAAAGTAAAAAGTCATATATATTCAGGAGGAGCTCCATTTAAGTAAGACTAGTAAGGTTTAGCATAAAATACCCAAATAGTTAAGCCTTCACTTCCACTTGTTTTGGTCCATGTTCTTGAGGCAAAAATCCAGGCCCTGGCCTCCTCTCACTTTCCACAGAAGATCTATACTTCTTCTTCTCGTACAATGGATTTGAGGTCAAGATCCTCATACCTGAATTCCCATTGATCTCCAGAACTTCAGGCAACCCATTAATACACCCCTTCGACATACCAACATCAATCCGAATTGCTCTCTCTTCGCAAACGCCATTAATCCCAAACTGTTGAATGGTGTGACCCATAATCATCCTCTTAGCGCCAGGAATTGTAGATAAAACATGTTCAAGAGCTGAACAATCACACTTCTCCGCAAATTCATGCGAAAAATTCCTCAACCAAACCACGGCATTACTCCCACGACAATACTCAGGTGCAAATTTTTCCTTCAATCCATGAACCCAATCCCTCACCTCCGCATTGATCTTCTCCAGACCATAAGAAACGTGTGCGGCCGAAAGCCCGCCATGGACGAAAACCGAATCTCCAACAACCAATACAGTCAAGTTCTTGGACAAGAACCGGGACGAAATGGGACCATTTGGCCTCAATGCAGCAATTCTAGCCCTAAACCCATCTACAAACTCTTCCTTGACATTCTTAAACCGTAGAGGGACCCCATCAAAGGGATCTTTGGGCTCTTCCAAGCCTTTACAAAGCGATTTCATTCGGTTCCCAATGCAATACCAATCGGCCCAACCCCTAAACTCATCCAAACCCTTGTGAGTCGCAAACCTGAAATCTCCTTCGACGTTCATGATCTCGTGGTTCCCGTGCATTGTAATCACCGTGCCGCCGCATCTCGCGGCTTCTCGTCTCAATTTCTCAAGATAATAAAGGATTTTGAGCTCATCGCCGCCACGGTCAAACACGTCGCCGATCTGG